ATTGTATACTGAGATCGCTATTGGCTGCCTATCTAATCAGCAGCTTTGCTCCTGAACGGAGGAAAGCAGCTGGGCGAGGCGCATGCAGACGCATAGTTGGGAAACAAACAAAAGGACAAAAAAGCAACCGTAACGCGAATTCGACTGTTTTCGATGAGATGATATCGGATTCGATTAGTTTGTCCACGAGATCATCATTATCATTGCCCGAACTGGGTGCAACGCCCATCACTGAAAAACTGTGTGATATCACACCGATTACGATCAACACACAGACCCGCAACCGCAGCGCCGAAAAAACACTGATAACTCCCGCAGGCCCCAGCCTACCACATCCACCGAATCCTCCAGTGCTCGTTATATTAGTACGTTTGTAGGCTCGTTCTCTGACCCCGAAGGTTTTTGTAGGGCACACAGTTAACTTCCCCTTTTTCCAAGCACACTAGCGTTCATCAACGCTAAAAGGCAGTAGTGATCGGATGCCCGTAAAAAAACCGATAAAAAATAAAAAAGTGTCTGATTCCTGTAGTACCCCCGTCGCTAGAATTTATTTATACGGGTGACCTACAGAGGTAGAAAATTCAATTCTATGAGAGCGTATAAGGGCCGATAGTGTAATGGATAAAGCGGCACAATTCGAAGGATTCGCAAATAGTGCAAATGAGAGAGGTTCGGTCCTCTGCCGGTCCACAACATTTGTCTGACGGGTAGACATGGAAGATGATTTTACGTCTTTTGATGCACACACAGCCGAGGGCCAAGTTTCGCAAATACCAGCTTCCTAACTTCCGAATTTATGTTACCAAACCACCTGGACATACAGACATTCAAGCATGCAAACGCAGGCCCTAGTGGAAACGACTTTTTACAACAGCTGACGCAAAAATGCACATAGCGAGGAATCGATGTTTTTAAACGAAAATTGCTCTTCGCTCCCATTCGCACAAAGCGATCACTCACTGTAACAGTGAAAAACAAAGCAGAAAACACAAAATAATATATTATTAAAAATGGTATGCTGAAGCTACAAGCCATATGGAACGCTATTGATTTACGGTAACAGTGCCCAGAAATAAGCGCTCCCCCATAATTCCCGAATCTCCGATCACGCGAAGGACAAGAGATTTTGCTTTAATAAGAACAAATGGAACAAATTAAACCGTGAAAATCTCAGTTCGTCAACTGGCCTAAATCTTAGGTCTCAGACCACGATCCTGTGGCTTTGCTTACTCCATCAAGATTCCCAGTATTCGAAAGCACTGATCAAA